TCAAACTTGTTCAAAGATAAGTTCTATGGCTTCTCCATATCATACCCTCTGCTGGCCACATGGGAAGGGAGAAGGTTCTACAGAGATTGGTTGCAGTCTTGATGGCCCATCATGAGATGGCAGGTTTTTGAGCCTCCTGGCTAGAGTGCCAGAGGGTGGCTCAAAGAGAGACTCTTCTAGTTCTCAAAAGGCCACACTTCTCACTACAACCAATGGAAGATCGGGATGTATCTATTGATCCAATGAAGGAAGACATACATTAATTCCAGTGTTGAAAGCTGTCCCACATGGAACCTAACTAGCAAAGGAACTGGTTCAATAATTTGCAAAGGTAGGATTACTCCCAATAAATTTTACACTCCAGGATGCCAGCTTTTAGACTGCACAAGTATGGGACTTGCTGGAGGTCAAACTGGTGTGCCTCTGTCTGGGTGTTTGTAGACAGAGATGGAACATTTCTCTCTCTATATTTTGTTATGGCTCCATCTTTCTGTGATGCTGTAGTAGGTCTCTAGTTCTGTAAGTCAGAGTGCCACAACTACAGACTGCACTTACCAAAACCACATGAAATTGCTCAGCACTACATGGGCCAATACATTTTTCTAACCCATCTCAGAGTTTCCAGTTTTTCATACATCAAAGTGAACTATTTTTTAAAAACGTGTTCATTTCTCAATCTCTCCCACCTTCCTGCATAAAGAGGGTACCAGAATCCAGGTTCCCCCCATATTTTCTTTAGAAGTAAAAGAAGAAATCTTTCTTATGATATAATTTTGCAAAGCTTCCTTAACTGGAAATTTGCTTTTATCTTCTAGCACTTTTCCCCATGCAGAAGTGCTGTAAATCCCATTAGAACTCTAGGAGAGAGGCCTGAGATTCCCCACCCCTGATTTAAGGAATCATTAGGTGGAGGCATGAGCCTTGAGGACCAGATCCAGGCAAGCTGATTCCCCACCCCTGATCAAAGGAATCATCTTTTACCTTCAAGGCCTCTGTGACCAGATTACTATGTGGATCAATTGTCAGCCCTGGAATCAGACAATTTCATCTATTGGCAGAATGGGGATGAGGAGAACCTCAGGGAGGCACATCAGCTATTAATGGTAAATAGGGGGTAATTTGTGAAAGACTGGCTATGTAGGTATTTTATTGAATAGACCAATGTACGCAAATGAAAGAGTTTGGTTAGCAGATATTATTCTCAAACTGAACTGGAGAGGGACCTTGAAAGGTCATCGAGTCCAGTCCCCTGCCTTCACAGCAGGACCAAGTACCATCCCTGACAAATTTTTGCCCCAAATCCCTAAATGGCCTCCACAAGAATTGAACTCACAACCCTGGGTTTAGCAGGCCAATGCTCAAACCACCGAGCTATCCCTCTCTAGGAGAGCGAGAAACACATTAAACACTAAGTTGATCAAGACTATGAAATTCTTGAGGGAGCTCTCTTTGCATCCAGTCAAAGTGCTACTATGGTCCATCATCCAGTCAAAGTGCTGCTACGGTCCATTCGGCACATGCCTGCAAATTCTAGGTATGCTGCAAGCACAATTAGCAAACTACCCTATCCTGGGAGACCATCTTGATTATGACAGTCTTGCAACCCACTAAGATAAAGGGCCACTCATGCAGCCCACTCACTAGACTAGGTTGCCCATCGTGCAATACAGATCTGTCACCAGTTTTGTTCACCCTCCTCCCCAGGTGAATGAGTGTCGACAATAAGCTAACAAAATACACTATTCAAAATGCAAGGATTTTATAAAAATTGAAAAATGGCCAAATTTCTTGCCTAAAAGCAAATTCGAGAAGGGAGTTAGGCCTTCAGATTTAATAATCTGCACCAGAAAATGATCACACATACAACCTGTGAACACATATTTAGAAATTAGACAGAGCGCCTTTTGGAAATTTGAAGCCTGAGCCTGCTGTTCTGAGTCAGGAAAATTGCTGTTACAGACAAAACCCTCCTTTGGCTTTTAATGACCAGGGAATTCCATATTTGGACATTTTTTCCTGATGCAGAAATTAATTAATTCCTTACACTTTAGGATCGTCATTAATGCTTCACTAGGTATATCATTCCTCAAGATAATTGTGGACATTTAATTTGCTGGCTACCATTTTAGTGGGTCTTTTCTAATTTACAGATGTTGATTCTCCCACTTAACACCAAGTAAAGTAGCAAAGAGCATCTCCAAGAGATACCCCAGCACTGAGGAAAATCCCACATCAGTTAAGTGAATGGCAAGGGTTATGTAAATGAAAAAGAATCTAAACTTCCAAAGAATAAAAGAGGAGCTGAGAGTTCTAATGCACCAGTGTGGTCAGTGGGAGGGGGCTCTTAGTCCTGCCTCAGACACATTCACTGCCTTATATGTGGGCTCTTATATTGCAAAAAAGTAAAAAATGAATAATGTCAGCTCCCAAGGAGGAAATACCTAACACTGGAGTACACTAAAAATCTTGACAGTATAATTCTGTTATCAACTAATACGGTTAGAGGCACTTTAACATAAGACTTTAGCTGGAGTGACAAACAGTTCAAAACAACTACTTGCAAATGGTGGAGTTTAGGAATAAAATAATTTTGGCAACTCAGGCCTTGAACCTACAAAAGACTAGGCATGCGCTCAAATTTATGCACTGTTTGTGCTCCCATTGACTTTAATCTCCTCACAATGTGTGAAGTTAAGCCCTTATATAAGTCTTTGCAGGATAGAGACCTTTGCCTGGCATTGACTACACATGAACTTTGGCACTTGCATAAATCTCTGTTGGATTGAGCCTTTGGGTGGTTCTTTGATGAATAGTGACCTTTATTTATTTGCAGCAAAGTGCATAAGCATGTCCTTATCTTTAAGCATTTGCGAAGCCTTGTTCAAATCAATGACATTTAAGCATGTGCTTAAGCGCTTTGCTGCATCAGGGCCAAAAAGGCAAAAGTTAGAAAAAAAAAATCATGAGTTCAAAGACAACTGCTCAAAGTTTTAAGAATTAAAAAGCAAAACTCCAAAACAACCAAAAAGATTAGTGTCAGAAAAAGCATAGTATCAGAAACAAAAAATGCAAATAAGAAGTTGATCAGAAGAAATTTCACTGTTTTGTAGGGTCATTTTTAAAAAGATTATTTTGTTAAGCAAGGGAGACATATACAGTACCACTTTGTTTTATAAAAAAAAGTTAAAACAAAATTTAGAACAGTAGCAGATTTAATAAATATACGTTGTAATTATATACAGTTTAAGTCTATTTAACCTTTGTAGTCAACATAATACATATATCTTTCAGAGGAATTCCCTATAATATTGTTGTACAACTTAAAAATGCTCACCAGAAGCTTATCTTCTATTGAAAGTAGATTAAAAACTGTCAGATCAAGAAGAAACAGTGTATTATGAAAACACTAACATTTGCATTTACGCAATAATATAAACTTCTGAATTTCTTCTCTCCATTTCATGTTCAGCGCAAATCCAGGTTGTTGTTTTTAAAACCATAGACTTTGGCTCTAAACTGGGATGGCAAAATTAATCTCTTCACAGATTTGTGGTGCTTTCAGGTCCTGATTCTGCAATGAGCTCTGTGTGGGCAGACTCCCTGTATCTGCATCCAGTCCCATTGAAGTCAATGGGATCAGGTGCTGAGAACCATTTCAGGACCAGGGTTTAAAAGTCAGCCAATGTTTTGTTCAACCTCCTTCTCCTTCCCCTCCCCCCCAAAAAAGAAACTAGTGCTAAAGCTTCAGTCACAGAGGAGATGCTGTCTTTGCCCTCCAAATAAAAAATAACCCGCAACTCCTAAGGAGCCTATAGAATTAACAACAAAACAATTCTATAAAGTTTGTACAACCAGTGTACAAACTCAAAATCTTTAAAACTCCTTACACGATATGCTTAACCATAATAAGCTTCTTTGTTGTTTGAGTTTCCTTTTCTGAAAAACCCGTACGAGCAAAACTCTCCACTCAGGAGGCCAGTGGAGGCTACTTTTTTACAACACATTTTAACTACTTATATACAAGTCATAATATACAATACATGAAAGAGCAGAATACTGCCCTTGGGATTTTTACAGTGCAAGATAAGTTAGTGCTGTAATTAAAGCCTGATAATACAGTCAGATTTCTTTTTTACTCTTTAAACTGTTTCAGGATATTGAATAGCAGTGATTCTGAGTTAACCCCATTGGCATATTGCACTCCTGGAGCACCTGAAGAAAGTAAATTTTCTTCTTTATGCTCTATACTCAAATTTCTTTGCACTTTGTTTAAAAATATGCAATTTAAGGTTTACTTATCCTATCAAAATTAATCAAAAGGCACTTGATATTTCTTTTTTGACTCAGTTAAGGCGTACAGCTAGTAGCTTTCCAAAGCTTCTGTTTCTTCATCTGATCAACAGTCACCATCCTGAGAGACAGGCATGTGCAAACAGGAAAAACAAAACAACAAAAAACTTCTCCAGGAATTCACCAGTTGAATTTCTAAATCCTTTCCTGGTAAAATGTGCAAAATGCTTCACAAGTTAATCTCTTAAATACAGAATAATTTATTCCACAGTCTTTTGAGGGTGCAGTTTTAATCACACATGAAGCTCTTAAATCCATGTCTGACGTTTCATAATTCAGTGTTCTTTAAACCTGTGAAAAGATAGCTAATATGAGAAGTTTTGAAACAATGCATAACACAAGATATCAATAACTTCAAAATGCGGTCCACATTCTTATTATACACATTCCTATCCTGTGCTCTATTTCTGAATGAAGTGCCGGATTCTGATTTCACATATACACTTGTTTTACTTCTGTGGATTTACACTGGTTTGAAATCAGAATCGCCCTTTCCTGCCTGCCAGTTTCTGGGGGAAAAAAGTACAAATTGAGCTATTCCACCTTCCTCCCACCCAACCAAAGAATCGTCAAGTTTCATATTCAAGAGTGAAAAATTAACACAACTTTTAGGGTGTGTCTAGACTACAGGATTTTTTTCGAAAAAAGTGGCCTTTTTTCGAAAAAACTTCCCGTGCCTAGATTGCTGCTGCGTTCTTTTGAAAGTAAATTGAAAGAACTCTGCAGTTTTTTCAACCACGGAAAACCTTGTTTTACGAGGAAGAACACATTTTTTCAAAAGTGCTCTTTCAAAAAAAGGCGCTATATAATGCAAACTGTGCTTTTTCAAAGAAGAGCATCCAGGCTGCGTGGGTGCTCTCTTTTGAAAAAGCGGCTTGCTTTTTCGAAAGTACTGGTTGTAGTCTAGACGCTCTTTTTTGAAAGAGGCTTTTTTGAAAGTATCTTTCGAAAAAGCCTCTTTCAAAAGAGGCTTGCAGTCTAGACATAGCCTGAGAGAAAAGTTACAGTGAATGTGACAGAGAACTCATTTTTTTCTATCATTAAAAAAAAAAAGACCAGTTCTGAAGAAAGATTTTAATGGATTTAAAGAAAAAAGGTTACTCTTTACAAAGCAGAACCCCTTCTCCCACTCCTCAGATTAAGGTATAGGCACATAAAGGAAAAAATCTGTGATATAATGAAACATTCAATTGTCATACAGAAAATACACAAGAAGCAGACTTACAAGGTATGGTCCATCTTACACTGAAGTTCTTTTCGTATGAGACGGAGTAAGAACTGTACAAAAACAAATCTAGGTTAAAAATCTAGACAGATGAACCACTCAACTAAGTTTTCAGTGTCAAATTCACACTGCTACTGTTATCTCAGAGTGACCAAATAGAAAACCATTCAATTCAGACATGTTCAATCAGTGGTTGGAGGATAAATTTGCACCAATCATATGAGAGGAGCTAAATCAAAGTCTCTCTCTGTGTCTGCAAGGATCCAGAGCTGATGCAAGGACTGGAGCTGAGTGAGAGTTTTCAAAATAGAACATTTTTGCAATCCCATCGTGCATTGTGACAGCATTGAAAAAAAAAAACCCCATTCCTCCAATTTATTGTTTATTGTCTTCCTCTCCCTATATCCTTTTTTGCCCCCGCTCCCTTCTGCTTACCTTTTCAGTGGCAAAGGAGGGAGGGAGGAGGGCAAGAGGAAGGAAAATTGAGAAAACTTTATCCCACCCCAACTCTCCTTCCCCCCACTCAAAAAATCCCAAATATTGTTGATTACTAATTGTTCTATTTCTAAATCTGTGGAATAAAGTGAGTCAAATTCATGGCAATTATCCTCTCTGAATCCGCCCCACTTAAGTTTTAACAAGAACAATTCTATTATTGTATCAGCAAGACTCTGATAAGACCAGCAGAGGGAGCCCAAGCCTGCAAGAAAAATGGTAACTATTATACCAACTTTAGGGCAAGTCCCAAACAATTAAAGTTACTTAGGTCCATTTCTGACTACAGGAGCAGGCCCTTTATACTTACTGTCTTAAATATACCAATTAATACAGCCCTTCATCGAGATTCAAGAGGAAACAGAAGAGCGATATTGCAGAGAATGTTTGATGAAAAATCTGTTAAGAAAATGTCAGTCTTCCATGTTTTCTGGCTATTATCAGTATGAACAAGTTGCAACTTTTTAGAAGTGAAGTCTGATTTTCCAAGGCACCTAATTGCCTAATCCTACACCTAATTCTCATTGGAATACAGTAATTTATAAACACACATTCATCACTTGACAGAATTCAACTAGTAGAAAGCAGCAGTTTCTATCTATGGTGGAAAGTGACCTTTATCTATTTCAAAAACATGGGATCTCAGACTGCGTTCTTGTGGCTGTGGACTGGTACTTCTGTCTACTAGATCTAAAAACTGCTGAATATTTGTGGGTGCTCCTCTTGAAATATAAATGTATCCATTTTATTTATTAATTCCAGAAATCTTACTATATAATGTGGAACAACTTGAGAATCAACCAACTTTTTTTTTGAATTAGAGTTATGCAGAGTCTCATAGGGAAAAAGTTTCCCTTACCATGACCAGACAGCAAGTATGAAAAATCTTGACGTGGACAGTAATAGTTGCTTATATAAGACCAAGCCCTTAATATTCAGACATCTGGGCAGCCTACCTTTCCTACATGTCTGTGACTGAATTCAATGGAACTTTATGGCATAAAGAATTGCCTGTGGGGATCAGACAGGAGAGCTGAAGTCTGATTCTGACATTTCTAACAAAAATTTAGCCCTTCTGTCAACAGCTTCCCTTAAGTGATACCAAAACACTTTAAAAAGGAGTTACAAGAGAAGCCTCCCTAGCCCTCTCTGAGGTGGGTGAGTACTGTACTGTCATCCTCCCTTGGCAGAGGGAGAAACAAGAGTCACAAAAGTTAAGAGATTTGATAAAAGGCATTCAGGAAGTCTTCTGCAAAATCAGAAACAGAATCTTCAGATTATATTCTCCGCTGTGGTACCACTGACTTGAACAGAGTTACACCAGCAAAGAATTTATCCTTAGATTTTTCTGACTCCTTATCTTGCCCCTTAAGCATCATAAAAGACAGCCTGCCAAGATAAGATAAATATGGCAAGTCAGAAACAGCTTCTTTTCAGGTCATTCCATCCATTACATTTTTATGTCAACAGGAAAAAGAAATGATGGATGTCAGGGAAAATTGGAATGTGTGATGCATTTGATCTTAACAGTTGCATTACCCATGGTGATACTGTAGAATCAGCAAAAGGACAATGTAGCAAAATTTGTATTACTATTTCAGTAAATTGGCATTGCTGCTTCAGTGGTGCTTTAAAAAAATGGGGAAGAATTCTTCTGCAGGACAAAAATGAGGTGCTCTCAGACTTGTATATGAATTTTTGTTTTCAACTATGTTTTCTATAATCCTTGTGGTGAACTACTGCACACTGATATCAACCAGTGATGCTAATTTGCTCTCTGGCTTCAAAGTTCAACAGCAGTTTCAAAATGCTCATCTTAACTCTAACAACAGCAGCAGCCCCTACAAAATGAATGAAAACTTCCCACTCAATACAAATCACATTACATTGAGGACATTTCCATTTTAACATGAGGGGCTTACGAAGAAAGAAATATGGCACTACATGTTTTATTTAGACTTACTAGTAAGGCACATGCATCTGCCACCATCAGCATGTAAAATACATTGTTCCAACCAGAGGGAGAGATGAGACCAGCCAACAGAGGCCCTAGAGCAGCACCTGGAATACAGTATTGACACGTGTTAAAATTATGAGGTGGAAGAATTACTAGTGCCAATGGCCACATATTCTGTGTTTGGATATTTTATTCAATTTCAACCTTCATAAAAGCAAACTCATTTTGGCATACATTGGCAAGAGGATCCGTAATGTATGGATAGTATATTATAGTATGCCTGCAAAGCTGCCCTAGCACTGGTGTTCTATGGAGGATTCCTCTTGGTTAGAAGCATTTACAGGTTGAGTAGATCTACCACAGTCAATCTCTGCCTCCTCAGAAGGCACAACCAAGGTATCTTGAGTGCCTGGAACTACTCCCGGTATATACTGGTCTAATATGGGCTGGGAACCAGCCCACCACCTACCCTGGGGAGAGCAAAGGAGGCCTAAAGCGGTCTTTGCCCATCCCCCACGCCCAAAGTGGGGCTGAGTACTGGCTAGATGCCACATGGAGAGAACCCAGCTTGACAGAGCCCACATTGCTTCTGTAGCACTGGCAGTTTGGGGGGAAAGCCAGCTTTTCATATACACACTGCGCGCATGTGATGTGAAGGTCACCGAAAGAGACATGAACTCCTTGATGCCAGCTTTAGTCTACTTTCAGAGCAGAATTGCGCAGTCATTCCCTAGAAGCTAGAGCCATAGAAAGCTTATTGCAGGTAAGAAAGGCAGATTCTGAACCACAGCTTACCTACGGAACCTGTTCCGTCGATGATCGCCGTAACGGTGGACAGGGCCCTTGCATTTCCTTTCAGACTTTTATGGGTACCCTACAGCAACAAATATTCAGTTCATACCCATTTACAGACAAGCCTGGGAAACAGCCATCCATCTGCTTCATATTCCAGGCTTTTCCCATACAGAATACAACACGAAATAATGGACAAATATATGTTAGCATGAACTTTACCAAGTAGTAGCCTTACCATGAGGCAAACGGAGGCAGCTGCCTCAGGTGTCAGTCTGGGGGGTGGGGAGAGGGCGCTACTAGGACCCAGAGTGTAGAAAATGGTGTCTGCTGCTGGTGCAGCGAGGGGTCATGGGGGCATCATTTGAGCTCTCCACACCTCAGATGCCAAAATGTTGTGGGCCAGCCCTGCAAGTAGTCTTAAACAAGCAGGGGCAAGATCATTGCTTAGAAATGTCCCCCTATAATTTTAATGATGTTCTTTATAAATAACTCCTTTTATGCTGCAAGTAAGATGTTTGGACAGCATGGGCCACACTTTAAGCCTGCGATTTTTCTCTGAGACTGTACGGTTGTCTGTCTGTACAGGCACTGCTGATACCAGAAAGCTCTGCAGAATAGAAGAGAATCACTAGTTGGGCAAGAATAGTAACAAAGCTAAAGTGTCGATCATAAAACCCATTAAAAAAACCCAGTTAGCTGGTTACTGAGTCAAAAGGCACCGAAAGGAAATAGTTGTGACGGTCATTTTTCATTAGGCCAGTTATAGAATAGGACTGCAGTGCAAAGCTAATGACCATGGGAACAATTTTATAACTCTGTATAAAAGAGACCGGATGGTTCAGAGGTTTTTTAATAAGACAGAGAGCCTTTCATTTATACTCAGGGCACTGAGCAGATTTCAGTTTAGGTCACCAGTTGCCTAAAGTCCTCAGTGTCAGATGGTTGTTCAGTGACATATGAGAAAAATATTAGTTGGCAGTTTCTGTCCAGCTCCCAGGGTGCCTATGTGACAAGATCCTACGGTCTAGCTGCAGACGCAGCAACGAGGCTGTTGACTGAATGGACCTAAAGGGTGAACTATAGGATCATGAAGGAGGGAAGAACAGGGGGAATGCTGGGGTGGGATGGAGATTTAAATTCTGCTACCTTTCCTGTTCTTATGCTGTGAGGCTACGTCTAGACTGCAAGCCTCTTTCGAAAGAGGCTTTTTCTAAAGATACTTTCGAAAAAGCCTCTTTCAAAAAAGAGCGTCTAGACTGCAAGCAGTACTTTCGAAAAAGCAAGCAACTTTTTCGAAAGAGAGCACCCAGGCAGTCTGGACGCTCTCTTTCGAAAAAGCCCTGTTTGCATTCAAGAACGCTTTTTTTCGAAAGAGCACTTTCGAAAAAAGGCGTTCTTCATCGTGAAATTAAGTTTTCCGCCGTCGAAAGAAAAGCCGCGTTCTTTCGATTTAATTTCGAAAGAACGCGGCTGTAGTCTAGACGCAGGAGAAGTTTTTTCGAAAAAAGGCTACTTTTTTCGAAAAAACCCTCGAGTCTGGACACAGTCTTAGTGAAGGACCACACTCTGCAGGCCTCTCACCTCTAGCACCTTTCAGAGCAATACGTTTAGCTGGCATTAAAAAAGCAAAATGGAAGAAAAGGTAACCAGAGGCAATGTTATCATGAAGCATTGTGACGGGGTGCACCAACCCCACACTGGCCCAGGAGGGGTTAACCAGGCTTGCTTGGTTGAGAGGGCCCACCCCCCACAGCCCTGCTAGGCATGCTCCAACTGCAGGCCCAGTATAAATGCCGGGGGAGCAGGGCTGAGCATGAAAGGGGAAGGAGCTCCTGTCAGAGCCTAGGAGCAGCAGCAGCAGCCGCTGGGGTGGAGGCCCGCCAGCAAGGACTGACTGGGGGGAGCAACTAGCCCGGAAGATGCAGGTGGGGAAGAGGCCAGCCATCAGACAGGGTAGGAAGTAGCCCAGGACAGGGAGCTGGAAGGCAAGCTCAGAGTGTTTCAGGCAGATTCCCCGCTGAGCTAGTGGTGGGACATGCCCACCACTGATAGGACCCTGGGCTGGGACCCGGTGGAGAGGGAGGGCCCAGCTCTCCCTACCCTATCCCATTGACCCCAAAAGATGAGGTGCCTCAACTACTTTACTGACTTGGTTGCTGGGCCATACTGCACTGCTGCCTGGGGACATAGATGGGAGGAACAATTACGGGATGGAGCAACCCAGATGGGACCTAAGAAGCTCTCCGCCCTGCCTCCTGGGGGCTGGACATCCCACCCCGTGACAAGTATGTACTGCAGTCAAACCACACAAGCTTGCAAGGCCTGGTGCAGTATGTTAGTTGGAAGCACAGGCTGATTGGGATGCAGTATACAGGTGAGCGGAGGATAACATGAGCACAAGGCAAGCACCAGGCAGTATCCTCCATGCCTAACGGAGACAAGTCTCCAGCCCACTGCATACTTTACTGCTTATTCTCGAAGATGCAGGGCAAAAAATGCAGGATGTGGGTGGCAAATGGCACATCTAAGGAGACACAGCCTAATGCACGATCCTCAGCATGCACATGAAGAGTTTATCTAAGAGAGCCTCTCTCCTTATAAGGCAGGAGGAATTTGGAGGCCACTCATCAGTATTAAGTCAGGGTTGAGTTCCCCATTGCTGGCTGTCCTGCTCATTATGTTTACCTTGTACACAGAAGCACAACACACACACGCGCTGTCTCTGTGCTACATAGAAGTGAGCCTTCAATGCTTTACACACATTTACTCAGCACAGAAATCAGACCTTTCCCCCCTAAAGGGGAACAAGTGAGTGGGAGTGTTTGCTAAATGTAAAACAAAGCCAAAAACTCACCAAGTCAGCTGAGACCGCAGTGGTGATCAGCGCATATGGGCCATTCACCAGGGCTCCACTGATAAGCAGCATAACTGTTGAAAGTTCAGTGAAGAGAAGTGAACACAAAGTTTCTAGAACTGGTTATTTATAAACCACAACCGCCTGTTGAGGATCTAGATACTGATAATTCAACATTAATTGCATTTACGAAAGATATATCATAACTATCAGAGTATGAATCTGGGAAGTACAAATTTGCTTCAAAATGGCTAACAAAGGCAAGGGTAAAAAGCCATCTCAGTAGTAATGGACAGATTAAACACAAAGGGGTGTTTGCTTCCAGCACAGCAGAGATCACGATTGTGTCTAGCCCAAACTCTTCAGCAGCTTGTGCCTTTTAGACTGTAAACCCTTCTGGGTGGAGATGAGTCTTTTATCTGTACGGAGCCTTCCACAATGGGGCTCCAAAGCTCAACAGGGTCATTAGATTCTGATGCCATAACTACAACACCCAGCACTGCTTTTACATTTTAACTCCTCTCAGTTTATTTATGGCCTCAGGGAGGTAAGCATTTTCAACTATGCATGCTGTTCTATCAGGTTTTTCTTGATTAAATTCCCTCTGTCCCATCTCAACTCAGTCATGCATATGGCGCCCAGAGATGTATTCTTGTAACAATGATTCTAGTCCACAATGAGCCAGAATGCAAGATTCCAAAACCCCTTAAACACAGTTACACAACACAGTTTACATTTTGAGGCACTGAGCCAGCTCAGAGGGGCAATCTCCTTACAATTACATGTGTCTATTTGAACTTCCTCAGGGAAATATTTGACCACATAATTCCTAATAATTCTCTACACCGTATCAGCACGCTTCAATCCCCAATCCACTTGAGGAATATTTTTCCTAACTCCTCAAAATATATACCCAAAGATATTGTTCATTTAAAATCAAATTACAAATAGCTTCCAGAACTCTCCTGGCCATTGAGTTCCCAGAATAATTTGTGTGGTTTTGTAAATATATTTCCTGTTTTTCCCTAGTATCTTTTTTTCCCCCCTTTTGGTGTATGAAAGGCTCTAGCAAACAGGGAAATTGGTAAAAGTGGAGATATAACATGCATCAACTTTATAGGCTAAAACTGTACCATTATTTTTTAAAAAAAATATTTTCCTTTAATTTCTTCATGTATGCTATAGGAGTTACATATAACAACAATAATTGTGGACAAAAGTGTGATTAAGTTAATTATGTTCTTTTCTGCTTTCAAAAGAAAGAGATCAAACTGTTACCATTAATTCAAGAGTATTTTATTGTGTGCAGACTTTATCTCCTTCCCCCCATAAGGGCTCTCAAGAATCATCCGGCGTATCTAGACTACACCAGATTTTCGAAAGAGGATATGCACATTCAGCGAGAATTTGCATATCTGCAAGCTCACTTTTGAAAGCGAAAGTAATTAAGATGCAGTTTTGTTGACAAACCCTCCTATTTGTTGGCAGGCCACGTAAACCTTGTTTTTTAAGGAAAAGCGGCTTGTCGACAAACGGGAGGGTTCGCCGACAAAACCACGTCTTAATTACTTTCACTTTCAAAAGTGCCACTTTCAAAAGTGAGCTCGAAAGAAGATATGCAAATTCCCGCTACATTTGCATATCCTCTTTTGAAAGTGTAGCTTAGTCTAGGTATGCCCATTTGAGGCTGAAAACAATGACACTTACTCCTACTTTTAATCTGTCTTTCTGTAAGCCACTAAACAGTGGCCCAAGCCACTCTTCCTGCACTTCATGCATGATTCTCACTCTCCTGAGTGGAAGGGACACCATCCTCCCCTTCCTAGAGCATCATCCTCTTGCCAGTCCCAACAGAGTCCCTGGAAGTAGTAACACAGCTTGGAGAAGCATTAGCTTTCTAGTAGAACTCCTTACGTGGAAGGGAACCCTCATTTAAGGGGGGAATTGCAAGGGCAGCAAGGCAATGAAAAGTCTTGGGACTCAGTGTGACTCCAGTCCAGGGAATTTGATGGGGGGCAAATTCAGGCTTCCATTCAACACGTGTTTGAGAATCCTCCAGCTTTGGGGGGCAGGTCCTAGAAAAAATACCCCTTCAACAGAACAGCTGGGGAGAAACTATGCAAGGAGAACCATACAGAGACCTCCTTCCCCTCAATGTATTGTGTCTGACTGCCCCTTGCGTGGTACATTCTGGCTAGAAGTCTTTCAAAGCGAGTAAGAAATGTTCAGACAAAGGGGTTTTCCCCTTCAGACGTGTTCTTTTTTTTCAAAACTGGAATTTTTGGGGTGAAAATATCTTAGGTTGGGGGGCTCTCAGTTTTCCTACCTCCCCTTTTCCAGTAGTGAATGGAAAAGGGGAGGTAAGAAAACTGAGTTTTTTGGGAGGGGGAAAAGAAAAAAAATGTGAAAGATTTAAACCAAAAATGTTCATTTTTTATTAAACATGTTAGAAGGAAAATCATTCCTTTTTTGAAGACCCTCAAATAAAGAGCATTGACTTTTTCAATTTTTTTTGTAAAAGAGGTTTTCTGTTTTTCAATAACTCTAATGCAATTATTTTTTCCATTGCCAATAATGAAATTTCTAGGTTACTGAAATTCTGTCCTCTACCCTTTTCTCTGGGTTCTTTATGGCCTATAAGGAGCCCAAGCAGAAATCCATTTGACTTCAATGGGAGTCGCAGGTGCTCCACAGCTCTGAAAAGCAAACAGTTTCTAGACTTTTTCCCCAGAAAAATCAGTGTGAATGGAACAAAAAGTAAAAGCAAACTAAGTTCTGTTAAAAACAACAGGCAGAATATAACTTAAGTTCTCACCTATGGTGGCTTCTAGGCCCATTTTACTGATTGCAGAGAACATATATAACTGTAATGGATAAACATGTAAGTAGTGAAAACAGAATAATAAGGTTTGAATCTCATCTCAAACTTTTATCAGTATAACTTCCAACTGAAATAGAGTGAAAGGAAGTTCATGCCCCTATTCTTCATATAACTTAGATTTTCTCTCTCACACGCACAATTAACTTAAGTATCATAACGTGAAAAATACTAGCTATCTTTATGATATAAAGTTATTCCTTTGTTATTTTTGGTAGTAGGATTCAATCACACTCAATTTCCCCACATGGTTGCCTCTCTCATAGGGGTCTCACAGAGATAGCTAATTTTTATTACCATAATTTTTTAACCTGTCAGATTTTCAGCATTAGCATACCACAGTGTTCTGCAGACTCTGGTAAGCTCAGCAAAGTCACTATAGAAACAACTATGTGGCACATTTGGTAGCCAGATTCCTAACATTAACAGCTTGGCAATTTTGATTATTTGAAATAAAAAAGACAAATCACTTGCCTGATTCAGATTCAGAATTGAAATAACTGAGTAATAGGGTGAAAATATCTTAGGTTGGGGGGCTCTCAGTTTTCCTACCTCCCCTTTTCCAGTAGTGAATGGAAAAGGGGAGGTAAGAAAACTGAGTTTTTTGGGAGGGGGAAAAGAAAAAAAATGTGAAAGATTTAAACCAAAAATGTTCATTTTTTATTAAACATGTAAGGAAAATCATTCCTTTTTTGAAGACCCTCAAATAAAGAGCATTGACTTTTTCAATTTTTTTTGTAAAAGAGGTTTTCTGTTTTTCAATAACTCTAATGCAATTATTTTTTCCATTGCCAATAATGAAATTTCTAGGTTACTGAAATTCTGTCCTCTACCCTTTTCTCTGGGTTCTTTATGGCCTATAAGGAGCCCAAGCAGAAATCCATTTGACTTCAATGGGAGTCGCAGGTGCTCCACAGCTCTGAAAAGCAAACAGTTTCTAGACTTTTTCCCCAGAAAAATCAGTGTGAATGGAACAAAAAGTAAAAGCAAACTAAGTTCTGTTAAAAACAACAGGCAGAATATAACTTAAGTTCTCACCTATGGTGGCTTCTAGGCCCATTTTACTGATTGCAGAGAACATATATAACTGTAATGGATAAACATGTAAGTAGTGAAAACAGAATAATAAGGTTTGAATCTCATCTCAAACTTTTATCAGTATAACTTCCAACTGAAATAGAGTGAAAGGAAGTTCATGCCCCTATTCTTCATATAACTTAGATTTTCTCTCTCACACGCACAATTAACTTAAGTATCATAACGTGAAAAATACTAGCTATCTTTATGATATAAAGTTATTCCTTTGTTATTTTTGGTAGTAGGATTCAATCACACTCAATTTCCCCACATGGTTGCCTCTCTCATAGGGGTCTCACAGAGATAGCTAATTTTTATTACCATAATTTTTTAACCTGTCAGATTTTCAGCATTAGCATACCACAGTGTTCTGCAGACTCTGGTAAGCTCAGCAAAGTCACTATAGAAACAACTATGTGGCACATTTGGTAGCCAGATTCCTAACATTAACAGCTTGGCAATTTTGATTATTTGAAATAAAAAAGACAAATCACTTGCCTGATTCAGATTCAGAATTGAAATAACTGAGTAATAGATTTTCTATTGAAGCCAGATGACTGTGACAATTTGCCAGAGTCCCAAGTTTCAGCAAAGGGGCACGAAGCCCCCTTGAAAGGGCTCGTAGACCCATAGGGGGCCACAGACCTTGGGTGAGAGCCATTGCTGCACTACATGACATGCCAAAGAATGGCATATTTAGTTTATTAAACCCAACCCAAACCTCTGTGTTGTGCCTTACTCTGAAAAAAGTCTCAGCACAACTTTCATCCTGGGGTAAATTGTCAGAAACTCCCGAGAACAGGAATCTAATAGAAATGCTGAAAGAACTTGACACATAAGGTCACCACTAAAATAAGGAGAGTAGATCTTACGGTAGGTGCTGCCAGCAGTAACATCATTCCACAAGTTGAAGCCCTTTTTTCCAATCTATCTGATATTATGCCTGCCAGAATGCCACCTGAAAAAGAGAGACATTAAAGACTAAAGTAGGTTATTTCATCAGCATTTTATGCAATATAATTGGACATGTATTTCCTCAAAGTTACAGGACTCCAAAGTTGTCTTTTTAAAGGTACATTTCTATTATAAACACACAGAGCATAGGACTGAAAATCTAGACAACTGTGATGGGCACTGTAGTCTGCCTACTTGGCTCCTTCTGAGGTTACCTGTACACCCAGTAGGAGGTAATTAGAGGGGACATCTATGGTATGGCTACACTGTGTCACTAATAGAGTGGCTCACCAGCATTTTCCACCTGTTGTTTTGGAACCCCACTGTGTCAAACCAGCCTCTGGGGTTGAACCAATGAGTTACGGCCTCTATCTCGTCTGGAAGAAGAATACACCTAGTTCAACATGTAGGATGTTACAGTCTGACTATAATTGATTGGAAAAGTATGACCATTATCATGAACCTTGTATCCCATGCACATTCAAATGTAAGATCCTAAGGTACAAATCACTTGGTAGTTTGTACCAAATGGCACCTTTCGTCAGCTATGCTGGTGGCTTGGATTTGTAGCAGAAGATGTGTTTAGATTGCCAAATAAAATCTCTGTTTTTCTGGGTGCTATGGGCTTGGCCTACACTTAAGAGAGGTCAACATAGCTATGTTGGTCTGGAATGGAAGACAACCCTCATCTGACTGCAATAACCTCCTATGTAGACCTACTTATGTCAATGGAAGAATGCTTTTGTTGACATAGCTTCTATTGTTTGGGGATATGGTATCCTTACAGTCATGCTTCTACATTAAAGGGGTTATGCCATCACATGCAATGCAGCCATGTTCATAGTCTCTGAAACATCAAGATATACCTGCCTAGCTTGCTTTCAATTGCACGACATGAAATTCACATCTTCTGCACAAAGCTTGAATAGAGAGGAATGATGCAGTTAAAATACAGGGTCAGGCTAGAGCAGTGGCTGCAACCCCTTTCTGTCACTCACACAATGTTTGGGACCATTGGATCTGCATAACGCTTGGGTGACATGAGGGAAGTTTCAGTGGATCCAATCATGGTCCTCAACTGAACTAGCATGGAGACCCCATCTGAGGCATATTGAGGGTGCAGAGGAACGGCAAAACTGGTCTAGTTCTGCTATGCAAAGCTGAGGACAGGACACATTTTTGGGGTAGGGGTGTGGTGACGGAGAAGAAAGGGGTGAAGGGACAAAGCCAGAGCTTTCTATGACATTTGGATCTGCCAATCTTTCTTGCACCAGGACCACATAAGGGGCTGTGGATTAATTCCTGTAGACTCACTACTAAGGCTCATCACATGGCATAGGATTAAACTATAAGGGCCACATCTTGCTCCCAGTGGAGCTAGTTTTTGCCATTTTCTGGTAGATGCAAGATCAAACCTCAGTTTCTTAGTAAAACACAGCTATGTGTGTTACAGATTTTCTATACAATGTCTGATTAAAAATAGAGTGTTAAACTTACCAAAGATTCCACCCACATCAAACAGTGTGGAAAGATCCCCAGCCCTCTTTGCATCAAGATGCTCTAACAATAAAAGTAGAATAAATCTGATTAGAATAGCCTCTCCCTTAACAACTATAACAAACATCTTCATTTTATTTGGATCCCTATGTAAAGCATGCTCCAGAATAATTATGTTAGCTAGTGGTGTGAATATTTTACCCTTCAAGTTACAAACTGTACAGCTTAGTGTGGGCACTTATACTTGTATTAAGGTGCCTTACATCAGAATGGTTTATATACACCAGTAAAACTTATTCCTGTAAAAACAGATATAATGGTGTCCATGTTAGCAGCTCATACTACTTGAACTCCAGTCGAGTTAAAGCAGTACAACTTGTGTGTGTGTGTACACAAGGCTTAAGAATTTTCGGCTTCATTAGCAACAGTCTTTAAAATAATCAGAGCATCACGCTACTAAGAAGTACCAATAAGCAATGCTGCTTTGTTTTAGAAACATAGTTGGTATAAATTAAGGCCATAGAGAGAGCCTAACCCTGAAACTCTTAAGTGACTGGTACCACTGGCTCGCTAAATTGTGCTGGTTAAATGCAACCTGCAGTAAGGCACAGTGCAAAGCTGCGCTGTTCCAGCTAGAGCAGAGGGAGGCAGAATGCCTCCTTCAACCCCCCGCATGCAGAGGAACACTCATGCAACTAGATTATAAATTATATGCAACAAGGACCATATATTTGTGTGTATTTGCACAACACCTAGAACAATGGGCCTCTGGGTGCTACTGCAATATAGGGTGGAAAATTCAAAAGCACCCAAAGGAGTCAGATGTCCAATGCCCCTAATATTCATATAATAAATCTAATTCAATTGTTCAGAAACATAAAATGTATTAGATAATCTACTCCCTTCATCAAACCTATTAGCTCAGAAGTATTGGTTACTAGGAGGGCATACTGTGCTCTGTCAAAATACACAGTGGTTGTCCATCCTATATACCCTTTCCTAAAGGCATTCACCAGTCTCTTCTGGTCATGAGGCTGTGGATTTAAAAGCCAGAGGACAGCCCAAAGAATAGGAACTTCTCTGGGTAAGGAGCATGCCTTCCTCTATGCTCTATACAAAAAGCAATGATAGTGATGATCTGATAAAATAAAAAAAAAAATTAATGTCAATCTTTTGGGCAGCTTCAGGATGTAAGGTACCAAAAAGCCAGAGACATCATTAAGACTTGCAGTTTTCAGGGAGAAAACAGATTCTTATTTTTGCAGTCACTATCTCTTAATTCTCAGTACACATCGTTGACATACATAATAAAATGGCAGTCTTTCAACTCTACTAGGGCAACCATAACTTAAAACAAAAGTAACAATGTTCGTTTTCCATGTGTGACTAGACTCATCATAGTTCATGACACTAACTAAACACTTCTTTTTCTCCCATAGATACTTACCTACATTTGTGATATAGAGTGGAAGCCAGAAAAGGAAAGTGTAACTGACCAGTTTAGCAAACAATAAACAGAGAGAGAATTCTATGACTCCCTAAGGAGAGACAAGAAAAAAGAACAAGGTTAGCACTGAGACATGAATTATTGTTGTTTCTTTGCTTTTCTTAAAGTACACAATGCAAGCAGTCTCCAAGTGACATCTTAAGCCTTTCCAGTCTCAGGAATCTCTCTCTTGAGGCTTTCTGGAAGCATGAAGCTTGTGATCAAAGCAGATTGCTGTATTCTACTTATGTATTTCTCTCTCTATTTGACTGTGCTGAGCTTACCAAAGCCAGAACACTAATAAGGACCGATAGAGTTTATATAACTAATGTGCGTGCATGCTGTTGTTACTTGGGATGTTTTCCTTTGACAAATTGGTCCAAGATTTCCATTATATTTATCCCTTTAAAAATACAAACAGCCCGTATGGTAACTGGTCTCAAAAAGTTGCCTAGTTAGGACTCAACCCTGAAAAATGGGTACTTATTTATCATACAAGTCTCAGGATTTTTTTACCCCATCAGCTTAACTGAGAATTCTCTGTAAGGTCAAATTTTCATAAAGACAGAGCTAAAGTGTATTTGACTACTAATTAAACCTGTTCATGTCATTCTTTTCCCCACCACTTGGGTTCTAGGAAGTCTTAAATCCTTGTCCTACATTCACGCTGACCCCATGTCATTTCCAGTTGTATTTAATTTTTTTCCCCTTGAGCAGAGCTATTACCCTGAATGCAAACAAAAATCTCTTTCCTTTTATCTTGCAGCCTGAAAGTTTGAGCTGTAAGACATTCCTTTATACAAGCCATAAATGTGTTTTAAAATTAAGAGCTTTTGGAAAGGACAACCCTTACCTATGAAACTACTATTAATGGAAGTTATATGTTTGAAGAAGTGATGCCATTTGTGATTCTGGCCCAAATTAAATCCCACTGTAAGCAAATACAACTGTAGTGGCTTCTGTGGACTTGTAGCTTGTTTACACCAGGGTAAGTCCACTGCCTTTACAGAAGATGTAAATAGGAAACTCATACCTAATCTCCATTATATTTTAACAATTGTTGAATTAGTTTTTCACTTAAAGTATTTTATTTGATTTTATTTCGAAATAGGCTATTTTTAAATTTGGCACATCTACATGGCGCCAAATTTTGAAATAAAGCTCTATTTCAAACATCCCTTATTCCTCATGGAACTAAGTTTACAGGGATGCTGAAATAGTGTGTCCGTTATTTTAAAAATTATTTCAAAATAGCGGACATGTTCCTTGGATGTGGGGTAGCTATTTCAGGATATGTTCGGTATCCCGAAAGAGCTTTGCAGTCTAGACGTACCCTTAATGTTTCATAATATACAAGAATACTATAACTTCAAATTTGATGACAAATATACATACAAAACGGGGTAACGTGCTATAGCAAGTTATATGACTTTGCTATATAATATAACTCAACTTCTGACTTCCTCTTTACACCCATCCTCCAAAACCAAAACATATCTGACACAAAAGCACATGCACTTTCAATTTAGCCTACTCACCAGATGAAGAATTCCCCCCACATAAGGATATCACAGAACCACTGGAACTAATGCTGGTCAGAAATCTGAACTTTTGTCCATGCAGGAAATTCTGATATTTCAACATTTGAGGCAAAAAACACCCAAATAGGATGAAAAGTCAAAATTACTAAATTTTTCAGGGAATGAAGAGTTCCAAAAATTTTCAGTTTGGAAAAATTTCATTTCGGTTTGACTTTGAACTATATCTGCCTGAGCTGCCACAGTGCCGTACCCAAACTGTCTTTCATATACTTCATGTCCCCATTTTCCTCTATGAGCCAGTCTCCCCAGCAAAACTGCATCTCCCATGATGCTCTTTGGTTCCCCCCCTTAGTGTATCATGGGAGATTAAGTTCAGCTGAGGCACCTGACCTTTAGAGCGGAATGAGGAAGACTTGAATTACAACCCCAATGAAACACCATGCCAGCTCAGCTGGAAGCAGATTAAGTTTGAAGTGACCCATAAAACATTTTTATTCCATTCAATAAATGGGAATATTTTGATTCAGGTCAACCCTAGACTCAAGAATTTTTTTTCCAATTTTCCATCATGAAAATTTCCCAAGAAAAATCAGTAATTTTGTGAAAACTGCATTTTCCATTAGATACAGTTTTCCAACCAGTGCTCATTGGGACTATTCAGTACCAGAACATAAAAAGAGATGCAATGAAAGGACAGTTCTCTGGCCACTGCAGAAGAGGCTGTAGCTACTTCCCCTGCAATCCTCACAATTTGAGGCTGTCTCTGATCCCCTTATTTCTCTTACTAGGAGAATATTTATCTATGAAGTATGTTAATAATGTCAGCAAACTCTTGGGATATAAGGAATGTGAATGCTAGCCATATAGCTCAAAACTATCCAAGACCAAGTTTAGCTTGCACTCTTTAGTTTTTTGGAACTTTGTAAATTCTAATGAGACTTATTAATTTATTCAACTTGCTTATTTGAGCCAAATGTTCCTGTTTTCTGTATTCGCTCTCCTCCTGAATAGGACATCATCTTTGCTTTATATGAAAGATCCTCTGATTCCCAATGTCTAGTCAAAACTCAATAGAATTGAATAGAATACCAGTTCCTAAATGGGAAAACCACTTCATCCAATTCTTCATTTAAACTGTATATAAACCAGAATCTTCTAGAGCAAAATCCAAGTCACAGTAAAGTGGACAAGACTAATGCATGTACTCACAGGTATTCGCAAGGCACCGATGAAGCTTATAGCTGACATTCTAGTTCCACTTTCCCCATTGACTGCAATGTTCTGGTTCAGTGGCACTGTGCAGTTCTCTCTGTCAGGAAGCAAACACTGCATCGCTGGATCCTACATACAGTTTCCCATCACCACAATAAGAAAGTAAATTCATTAAAATATATATGTTTCAAACTACCAAGTCATTCATGTGTCTTAAAACTCTTTTTTTTAACCTCCTGTACTGAAGAAAGTGATACACTGATTCTGAAATTTTTATTGTAGTGTTTAAGTGAAAAAAAACCACTATTGCTTGGGGCTGTGTGCATTCAGGAGTAGATACTACATTGCAAAACCACAACATATCAGAGCATGCCTTCAATGGACACCAGATATTCGGAAATTCTGACTTATTTCTTCTACTTTTCAATGACCTCTCTCTGTTCACCATTCAAATTTGGCCTCTCTAACTGCAGTTGAAAATACTTCTTGGTTGACATACTGAAGATATCAATGACGTTACTAGGCTTCTACTTAAATACTAAGCTGATTTTTCACAATTGTTGCCCCTCATGTTTTCACATTCATCAATTTAAGTAGGGATAATTTTTACTGTTCAGGTATGTACAGCATATGCTTAGGTTTTAAAAGATTCTTGAGTTTGTTTTGTTCCCCACCTCTAGTTTTCAGTTTTACTCTTTCAGGCAGTCACACCTATGAATTATATCAGCATTATTGAAGGACTAGATTCTTTCCTTACTTCAATAGCAGTGGCACCAATTAAGGGGAATAGGTGAGAGTTAATTTCCCCCTCCCCTCCACTTTCTGCACCTGCCCAGAATTCCATAGTCTGGGGGATCCATGGCCTAACCCAGGGCCGGTGACAGATTTCAACAGGCCCTGGGTGAGAGGGAGGGGAAGGCCTTGGCTCCTGGATTCCCCCTGGAAGGTGTGGAACCTTGAGCAGAAAGGATAGGACGGGGGCTAGCCTCCCCCACCCAACCCTCAGTGCTGCGCAGAGCATGCCACGTGGGGCTCAGCCTCCCCCACCCAACCCTCAGTGCTGCCCAGAGCATGCCACGTGGGGCTTCAGCAGCAAACTAAAGGGCCCGGGGTTCCAGCTATTGCTCCTGTTGTGGTAGCGGCTGGGAGTCCTGGACCATTTTAAATTGCCAGGCCCCACAGCAACTGCCCCCTATGCCTCCCTTCCCCCATAGACTGCCCTGGTCTAACCACTGTTAAGCAGCTATCCCATACTAACCCAATATAACTGTTGCCAAAGTGATCAGGAGCAACATCCCAGCTGTGTAGCTGCATTGAAACTGAAGCATGACCTGGTACACATGAAGGGGTTTTAAATCTTTGAATAACTGAAACGCCATTGATAAATTAATTTAACATTTACAATTTACACTGTCAATCCCCAACACAAAATCCTTTGAACAAAACCCTTTTGTCTGTTTTTCAGGACAATTTTCTGACTTCCACAGGAGTGTTGCTTGAATTAGGACAGAGTAAACCCTGCAGAACTGTAAGTATAATAGCCTGATTGGAATTGTCTGAGTAAATACTGATCATGGATTAATAAGCAAAGAGATGATAATTCTGAAGTGGAAGTTACCAATACATATCACCTCTCTTTTGAATTCCAGTTGGAGATATGCATCAATACTTTGGAGTTAAGTAGCTAGATAAGGAAAAAGCAATTTGAGGTTGGCAGAGAAAATACATTTCAGCTTTATCAGTATGTGGTACACTCCTAAGCTGTGAAGAAGGATTTATTATTACTCAATATTGTTTAATTTTAGAGGGCAACCTGACATGACAGATAATGTATGGAGGTGTGTCTACACCGCAGGGCTTAACTCGAAATAAGTTACGCAAACTGAGCTCTGTCAATTGCGTATCTTATTTCGAAATAGGGAGCGTCTGCACAGGACTTATTTTGAAATAGAGCACTCTTCCTCTGACTTCCCTTACTCCTCGTCCAATGAGGGTTACAGGAGTCTGCGTAAGAAGTCCTCCAGCTTGACAGTATTTTGACACTATTTCAAAATAACTGCCTGCTGTGTAGACGCGGACTAAGTTATTTCGGAATAGCGCTAGTTATTTCGAAATAGTGTTGCAGTGTAATCGTATCCTGGGGGTATTCAGGTTGCGTACCTAGAAACACTATGGCTACGTCTACACTGGCCCCTTCTTCGGAAGGGGCATGCTAATTTTGAAAGTGGGAATAGGGAAATCCGCGGGGGATTTAAATATCCCCCGCGGGATTTAAATAAACATGGCCGCCGCTTTTTTTCCAACTTGGGGAAAAGCCGGAAAAAAGCGTTTAGACTGGCCTGATCCTCCGGAATACAGCCCTATTCTGGAGGATCTCTTATTCCTACTTCAAAGTATATATATTACATTCTACATTTACAAGAGCAAGATTAGATATCCTCAACTGCAGGGAGAAAAGGGCAAGGTCTCAAAAACAGAACAGAGGCAAACAGGAAGAGCATTTTGCCTGGTTATTTCTTAATATTATGAACAATTAACATAGATGGCAAAGAAAACATACATTAACTCTGACAGATTTGACACCAACTGCCCCAATGCTACTGCTCAGCCACTGTCCCTCTGTCATGATCAAGAAGGAACATCTCTTTGGTGAGAGGATAAAATCTCCTTATCCCTTCAACCTATAGCCTCTTGATACAGGCTGACAAGAGTTCCAATTAGTAAGAGCTGTGATTAGAGCTAGCAGAGCAAATTATAGGCAATGGCTTATTTTCAAATTTCAACTCTGTGTTTATGAATTGTCCAAAAACAGCTAATGAGATTCAAGACTCTTTGCCATTATTTTAGAATTATTCATTGCATAATACCGGCAAGTAACATTTGGGTTGTAGGTTGTACTCAAGCATTTCATTATACACAGTGAATATACTTAGTTTAGAATGGTTTTGTTCATTTTGTTTGAACTCAGAAGTTTGGTTTAGGGAAAAGTTTTCCTACTCAAAATTATAAGTTAGCCATTGAAACTGAATTTGGGATGGGGAGGGCAGGGGGAAAATCAGTTCTGATCAACAACTTTCAATTTTTACCCCAGGAAAAAAAATGTGAAAACAAGAGTGCTAGATTCAAAACATTTTGAAATGAAAAAAGATTTGTGTTTTAATTTGGACACAAGAAATATTTCTGTTCTCTGAAAGGACAAATCCAGAATCCAGTTTCTAGTGTGAATACCAATATTCATATTTACAAATGTAAAGTTTGCTTCTGTCAATTATCTCTAATAGATTAAGATTCTTTTTTGTTTCCATGACTATTCCTGCAAGTAAACTCATTGGCCTCTCGAGAGCAAACATAATGGAAGCAGTTTGTTTAAGAATCAGTAACCTCAGAATATTTGGCACTACTTGTCCAGGGCTAGCTTTTTGGTATGTTTCTCCCCCACAAAGAATTAAAAGACCATTTTCATTTAAAAAAATATCTATGTGACAAGCATGCAACCAAAAACCACCTACCACCTGTAGAAAACCTTTAAAAACAGTGCCCGAGTGATGTTCAGAGCTGTCCTTTGTCAAGGAAATTAAGTTTTACATTGTTCAGTATCATGAATGGTATTTTTAGCTTGTCTTTGTTATCTAGGTTAGATCACACTCATTTCGCATTTTCAGAAGGATCGTTTTTGCAAACAAAGGGACTGCAAAGTTCAGCAAATAAGTATGTACAATGGGAGAAAGAAAAGAACTCTGTTCCTGTCTCAGCATGGAAGGTAGGAAGAGATGTATTCCAATCCAGAGTGTTCAGTCTCCATGAGGAAGTCCAGCAAAAACTCAAAAGGTTACATATTATGCACATACCTAACTAACTACTTAACAGAAAATCAGACAAACAATCTCAGAGCTAAACTGTGACCATCCCCTGCACAGTAGAGGGAGGGAGCCAGGGACGTTCCTATTGGTGCTTATAGCCCCCTAAGCAGCCCAGCAGTGGCACAGGAGAGGGGGACGTGAAGCTGTGGGGAATAGGATTGCAAATTCTTCCAGACCAGATCCCATTTACTGCAATGGTGCAGGAGAGTTGGCAACATAGGAGCAGAGCTGGGAGAGAGGCATGGAACAGAGGAGCCAGACCACCATAATCCTCCGGGTCCCTCCTGCCCATAGAACAGTTGGTGCAGCTGTCATGGGGCCCCCAAAAGTGCAGGGCCTGGGACCAGCCTCCCCAATTCATCTTATGGATGGGATGGCTCTGGTTGGGGAGGGAAGGTGCGGCCAGAGCCAATATGTAGCACACAGATGCATAGGGCACCATAAATTGTGGGGCAATTTGGTTTCCCAAATTTCATGGTGCCCTAGATGGCTGTGTGTTTTGCTTATCAGTAGGGACAGTCCAGGAGGGAATACAGACTCTGCATCCCATGGGTGGTCTATGTAAGGGACATCCAGAATCATAGTTCCTGCCCTCAACAAGCTTTCTCTACAAGCAACAAGACAGAAGTGTAGTATGCAGAATCATACCTTTGTTTCTCCACCCTGCCAACCAGGAGAGCTTGTTAGCCATGTGATGGAGTCTATCCAGCATCTTAGTAGGGGTAGCAAATTACTATTCCCTCTCCCCCTCCAGCCCCAGGGAGCTCCAGAAGCCATTCTGTTCCCCAGGAGTGGTTGAACTGCATACCACACCTTATTACAGGCTCTGCCTACCAGGTTCAATTCAGCCCATAGAATGAAAGGAGTAACATGTTAAATTGCTGCTTGATCTGGAGTTCTTGGAAGTCAGTGGAGAGACTTTCATAGACATTAATGGGCTTTGGATAACATCAAAGAAACAAAACCAGCTGGCTGTGTCTAGACTGGCAAGTTTTTCCGCAAAATCATCTGTTTTTGCGGAAAAAACTTGCCAGCTGTCTACACTGGCCGCTTGAATTTCCGGAAAAGCACTGAGGATCTCATGTAAGATTGTCAGTGCTTTTCCGGAAATACTATGCTGCTCCTGTTCAGGAAAAAGTCTTTTTCCTGAAAGACTTTTGCGCAAAAGGGCCAGTGTAGACAGCACAGTACTGTTTTACGCAAAAAAGCCCCAATCGCAAAAATGGCAATCGGGGCGGTTTTGCGGAAAACCGTGTCTAGATTGACCATGGACGCTTTTCCGCAAAAAGTGCTATTGCGGAAAAGCATCCTGCCAATCTAGATGCGCTTTTCCGAAAATGCTTTTAACGGAAAACTTTTCTGTTAAAAGCATTTTTGGAAAATCATGCCAGTGTAGACATAGCCGATATGTTGTCCCTTAATATGATGGGGGGAATTGGCTTCTCTTCTACATCAGTGACTTCTGTAAAATAAGTGTTTTAAAATTTATTTTGCAGAACTCAAAGTCCTATAAATGGATAGCCAAATACAGTCCCTTCTAATAAATCATACACAGTGTATTTAGTAAACAAAAGGATGCAGAGTGAAAGGTATTTCAGTTTTGGCTATCTGTGCCTTGTACTGTCTAGTCAGGAATTTTGTTGCCCTACATGAAACTCAGGGATCAATTATTACAGAGACAGGCCACAACTGCATTAGGATCTGAAGGCGTTTCAAATCTGGGGATTTTTTGGATCCAGGCTATTGGTCTGAGCTCATCCCTTTATCACTGGTGTGAATTTTGCTCACATGGCTCTGTCACTGCTCCTCCCCTTCTTTTACAATTAAATTTTCAATTCAAAGTATACCCCAGAAGTGATGCAACCAGTTTTGTAGGCAAGGACAGTAGTTCATAGAAGTTGTTAAATATGTCATTTTTAAGCAGCAGAAAGTCTCCAGTCTAAAGGAAGACATACTAAGGGGACACCATACTAAGGGGAAGAAATTAAGGGGAAAACATTCATGTGCATAAGGGACGGTCACCTTGCTGCCTTTTGTGCTTTTGAAAAATCTCCCCCAAAACACATTGTTTTACAGTAAGTTTAAATATTTTTCCTATCAGATCTTCAGCAGATTACCCATGAATATGATTCAAAGCCATTTTCATTGTAAACATTACCTAAACTTAAAAAAATCTTAGATACAATTTTAAGTTAAGACATTTCATTTTACCTGAAGTCTGTTGGTCTCTTTAAAGTTTAAGCTTGGCTTCTGGACTCTGAATTTATTTGTGCCATTCATGTAGGGCTTCGAGTTCTGCAAAACAATTTTTAAAATACCTACTTTACAGAAGTCATTGATGTTGGAAACAAGGTTAAACCTTACTTTCACATAACAAAGATCTTTGTTCATCACATCTCAGACACAAAGTCAAAAAGAAAAAAAACCTTCTGGTTTGATTGTACATTCTAGTTATTTTAAATTCAGGTGGAACACTGTGAATATTGCAAAATATGAAAGAGAAGATACTTATATATTTGTTTCATTTCAAACTGTACACAGAAGCAGCATGGGAAATTCAGATTGTGAGCTCATTTTTAATTAATGTCTTCGATATTTTTCACTACAAAAGTAACATTTTTGTAACAAAACTTCAATTACAATTAAACTTCCTAAACTGATCCATTTATTTTCAAAGGCTGTTAAAGAACAACCTTTATCCCCTCTCCCAACCCCACTGAAGATAAAAATGTCTCACATTCTCTTATAAAAATACTCAGTCTAGTGGTCTGATCCTATTATCATCAAAAATACTCAGTCTAGTGGTCTGATCCCATGTTGATTTTGAGGTGCTCCTCCCACACACAAAGGATCTGATCCTATTATCATGTGTGGGCTCTCCAGTCTGACAACTGAAACACATCTAAAGAATTGATTTTTTGTAAATATAGCCACCCATGCACATGCTCAGTTGTACATCTGTGTGTGCTGAAATTGCATTCTTTGAAAAATGTCACCATATGATTTGCCTTTGCTATGAAATTTGCTGGTTGGTTAGATTTCAAATAATCCTTAAATGTATATTCATCACGGTAGTGAGAACATGGGGCTGTGTTCAGTTAGGCATAAAATTAGAGGAGCACAGTGAGGCACTAAATTGCAATGGGAGGGACCTTTGTTTGTAGAGTGCCTTAGTACATCCTGAATGTCACGTAAAAATTTAGTCAGAAAAGCCTGCCCTGTCCATATCTGAAGTTTTAATTTAAAAAGGAAATATAGGCAAAGCTGCTCCAGATACAGCGTAGAGACACATATTTTAGTTGTTCATTCATCCATTGCAATCTTCCTGCAGTGCAGAAAATGTAGGTGGGGTGAGGACAAATTATGTCTAATCCATAAAAGATAGAGGGTAGTCACAAAGATTGAAGTAATCCTCCTTAATAGTTCAAAGTCAAAAGACAAGGGTTCCACAAAATAAATAATTAGAAATGGTCTTGCTGAAGAGTTGTGTTGAGAAGTGAATTACAATGATTTAGCACAGGAGTGGGCAAAATTATGCCCACGGACTGGATCCAGTCCATCTAACATTTCCGTCTGGCCCACCACGACTCTTTGGACCGCTAAAAATTCTAGGTGCAGCAGGGCGCTCAGGACAGCAGCCTGCCTGCCATGGCCCCAAGCCACTCTGGGAAGCAGTTAGCTGCTATGGGCGTGTCTCTGTGCACCCTTGGCCGGGGGGTGGAGGTAGGGCCTATCACCCAGCACTATCTTCACAGCTCCCTCCAGCCACAAATCAGCCAGTGGGAGTTGTGGGGGTAGGGTTTGTGGGCATGGGCAGCACACGAACCCACTCTCTCCCTCCCCTCAATGGATGTGCAGTAACATGCCAGCAGCAGACGGCCAGTTTTTGGAGTATCATGGGGCCACAGCAGGCAGGTAGCCTGCCTAAGCACCCTGCTATGCTACTAGCCAGAAGCCACTTCTGGTAAGCACCTACTGGCCATAGCCTGCACCTCACACTCCATCCATCCCACACCCTAGCCCCGTGCCCTAGAAGCCCTTCCTGCACCCAAATTTCCTTCCAGACCCTGCACCCTGTACTCCCTCCTGCACCCCAATCACCTGCCCATAGCTCTCTCGTGCACCCATTCCCCCTCCCAGACACTACACCCCTCCTTTAATATAGCAGAAATGTGTGACCTGTGATGACATACCAAAATTCATGGAGTCCCTCTGTCCCCCCAAGAAAATTACTATCCACTCCAATCTAGCAGAAAGAATATCCATTATCTGAGGAAAGGCCAGCTATATCTTTATCTAAGGGCAAAGAAAAGAAGAAGTGCAAGACCTTTTTTTCATTTCACTATTTAAATGCAATATACTCTGATAATGAGGAAATGTCTGGAGATGACGAATAGACTGAGAGGCTGCATATGAAATATTTATGCTTTATCTTCTGGAGAGAAATAAGAATTTGAAAAATATAGAGTTTTCCAGATATGTGAAGAACTTTACCACAAAATTTTTATAACAACTGATATTTCTGCAGAAAGAGAAAGTTATCTTTAAAAAGAGTCCTTAGAACAAAAGTATTGCAACACACTTATGTTTTGGTCAGCTGGGTTTACATGCTATGTGGCAAGAGCAGTGAATGGAAAATAATGCTTTGCAT